GGGGAGCCAAGGGTGGGGGTTAAGACACTTTGCCTCCAGCCCGAGATTATTTCCTTTGGGAGGGGGAGGTCCGGGCTGGCTCCCTCGTTATCTGCTCTTCCCTCCCCAGGTCCTGAAGGGACATGACGACCACGTCATCACCTGTCTGCAGTTCTGTGGCAACCGCATTGTCAGTGGCTCCGACGACAACACGCTGAAGGTCTGGTCAGCCGTCACCGGCGAGGTGAGCTCGGCCCGCAACCCTGAGCAGCTCCCCCGCTGCTGTTCCTAATGGGGCTGGGGGTGGCCTCAGGCTGTGGGGTTCCCCCGTAGCTCCCCTGACTCTGTCCTGCTCTCTGCAGTGTGTGCAGACCCTGGTGGGTCACACGGGGGGCGTCTGGTCCTCCCAGATGAGGGACAACATCGTCATCAGCGGCTCCACGGACCGGACGCTGAAGGTGTGGAACGCGGACACGGGCGAATGTGTGCACACGCTGTACGGACACACGTCCACCGTGCGCTGCATGCACCTGCACGGGAGCAGGTAACCCTGGGGCGGGGGCGCAGGGCCGGTGGGGGCCGGGAGGAGTGACCCATCCCAGGTGGGGCTGCTGGGCCTGGGAGAAGCAGTGGGCGTGGCTGGGCTCCTGCTGCTGCTCAGTGTGCCTGTGCTCTGCAGGGTGGTGAGCGGCTCGCGGGACGCCACGCTACGCCTCTGGGACATCGAGACCGGGCAGTGTCTGCACGTGCTGATGGGGCACGTGGCTGCCGTGCGCTGTGTCCAGTACGACGGGCACAAAGTGGTGAGCGGGGCCTACGACTACACGGTGAAGGTGTGGGACCCGGAGAGCGAGAGCTGCATCCACACGCTGCAGGGCCACACCAACCGCGTCTACTCCCTGCAGGTGAGACCCTGCTCAGGCCCCGCCCCCAGTGAGAACCTGCCCAGGCCCTGCCCCCTGCCCAGGCCCTGCTCCTAGGTGAGACCCTGCCCAGGCCCTGCCCCCAGTGAGACCCTGCTCAGGCCCCGCCCCCAGTGAGAACCTGCCCAGGCACCGTCCCTAGGTGAGACCCTGCCCCCTGCCCAGGCCCCGCCCCCAGTGAGACCCTGCTCAGGCCCTGCCCCCTGCCCGGGCCCCGCTCCTAGGTGAGACCCTGCCCAGGCACTGGCCCCTGCCCAGGCACCGTCCCTAGGTGAGACCCTGCCCCCTGCTCAGGCCCCGCCCCTGGTGAGGCCCTGCCCAGGCCCTGCCCCCGGTGAGACCGTGCCCCCAGGCGAGAACGCTCCCTCTCACACCAGCTGGGTCTGCTCCCTGCAGGATGCACATGCAGGATGTGCCACGCCCCCCCAGGGTTGCCTGGGCCGTGCCTGCTGGAGGGGCAGCACTGGGGGCGTGCCCATGGCTGAGCCTGTTTCTCTCCGGGCAGTTTGACGGGACGCACATCGTGAGTGGCTCCCTGGACACGTCGATCCGGGTGTGGGACATGGAGAGCGGTAACTGCCTGCACACGCTGATGGGGCACCAGTCGCTCACCAGTGGCATGGAGCTGCGGGACAACATCCTGGTCTCGGGCAATGCAGATTCTACCGTCAAGATCTGGGACATCAAGACAGGCCAGTGCCTGCAGACGCTGCAGGGTAAGTGGGGCGGGGGCCAGCCCTGTACTCAGCCAGCGCGTGGGCGACTCTCTGCTGGGGGTGATTCAGACCCAGGCAGCGGGGGGCAGTTAGG